GGGGTAAGATACACTTTAAAGATTACAAAGCAGCCCATGGTGAGAGGCAGGGCGGTCGCTAAGCTAAAACAAAAAAACATCCACTCCCTAAATACACGTGTTTCGCAAACTGCAACTAAGTATAGTCTGAATAACAGTGACAACGTTTTTGGTCTTTGGGTTGAGCCTATGAGTAATGTTCATACTATGTCTTCACCTCCTCTCAGAATAGGTTACTGTGATCTGAAATACAAGTGTAAATCACTGTGTTCACAACTGCAGCTTGACAGCAGCAGCGTTTCTCTCTGCGCCCGAAGGTCAGAGCAGCCACTGGGTAGGGTGGGGTGGGGTGGGGGGTTCAAAGGCTCCTGGATTAGTCAGAGTCCATCATTTCTAAAGGGAGCAACTTAATATGTGCAGCTCCTGCACTGCCTCGCTGTTATTAATGAGACAAATTGCATATCGCTGTCATTATTTGTTCATCTTCAGAGCAGGACTGGAGATCAATGAAGACTGYTTGATCAATAAGAAATATTAAATCGCTTGCAGATAAGAAAACATTAAGTTATCCCTGTCAAATACATCTTATTAAWGTCGAACATTATTACACTCATTAAATGACTGCATGATGCAGAACTAAACATCCATTCCAAACGCACATCTCTTCGGCTGTGGAGAGGTTATAAACGAGAAGTATCTTACCTGTTGCAGACAGCTCTTTGAACAGCTTCAGTTCGGAGGAATAAAAGTTTAATTGTAATGAGTCAGCTATAAGTGAGTCAAACTGGATTGCTGTTAAAAAAAAACTGGTCTGAAAATGTCTCAGAGTGGTTCATGTGGACACTACTGTCTAAACTTTTAAACTGTTGTGGATTTCACACCACATGGTTGCTCCAACAGACATTTCGGGATGATCCTGCTCAAAATGTTCCTCGTCTTAAAAGTGCCAAACGTGCTTCAGCATCTGCACAAGAACTATTCTCTAATAAATAACTTCTGGGGGGAAATGTGCAGGTTTGAAAACCATGCGGATTAGAAATAACAACTATTTCAGAACTTCCAGATCACGTTACGTTCAAGTCAAAGTGTACTACCGTGGAGGCAGCTGCCGAGGTGGGTCCAAAATGGGTAAGAGTTGAGCAATGAAATAACACGCATGTCTTAGAAAACAGTTTTGCAAGCCGCACACACAGAAACAAGGCAAGACTATCAAAAACTGTTTGCAGGGTTCCCACACCTTGGTCAACATCAAATTCAAGGACCTTTCAAGGACTTTCCAGAACCAATTTCCTCAAATTTAAGAACCACGTGTGATGGCAATTACCTGCTGTTATCGCAGAATGTTACCAATAAACAGGTTTAATATCATGTAAATTCAATGAAAAACTGAACAACAAAGAAGTTGTTGAGTCASAATCRATGAAAKAAAATGGATTAAATGTATAAACTACAGTTATAACCACAATACACRGACATGTAATTRTGTCCTGGGAGGTTCAGCAGCTCAGTTTGGGAAGAGGGGATGTGAACATGTCCWRACGCTCGGTGAGGACAGGTGTGGTGCTCTCACCTGGGCTCAGAAAGAAGACCCGCCCTACTCTGCTCTGATTGGATAAAACTATGACTACGGCTCCCGTTATTTGTTGAAAGCCATGTCAGTTTACCGTAATCTTGAGTTTTCCACCGCAATAAATGTAAGATTTTTTATTTTATTTTTTTATTTTTATTTTTTTACAGATGATGAAAATCAGTCATGTGAATAGAGAACTTCAATCCCCAAAAATCATTCAAGGACTTTCAAGGACAAGTGTAATTTGTTGCTGTTTTCAAAAACTTTCAAGGGCCTTGAAATTATTTTTCAAATTCACAAACTTTCAAGGATTTCAAGGACCCATGGGAACCCTGTGTTTGTCACACGGCTTGTTGGTCAAAGGGCAGCAAGACCTCCAAATTCAGTGAGACTGCAACAAAAAAATCTGCCTATTTTCTACCAATWTTCTCTATTTTAAAGTTGCCACGCAGTTTCCAACAGTTGTGTCTCAATGAGAAACTGCCCATACAGTGTTGATTTTAATGAGAATTAGAGCTGCACGATACTGGAAATAAACTGCACTGATCTCATCTCTTTTTTACGCATGTTACAAGAATTTTATTTTATTTATTTATTTATTTATTTATTTATTTTGCATTAGAAAGTTATTATCTTAAATGGCTTGCTTTTATTTTGCTGGGACCTGAGTTTGTTTCTTTCGCAAACGTGAATTGCATTTTACCAATAAATAAACCTAACGTGTAGCCTCTGTCTCAGTTCCTGTTTCGTCAAGCGTAAAAATGAGCATTTGTGCTAAAGCGGATTTCACCTCTTTTCCTTCACATGTCCGTTAAGACCCTCATACAGCTCTAAAATACACAGAAAACAGTTCTCCGAAATACACAGCCATTAATTAAAGCGGCTGCAGGTGCCGTCAATATAAAAGCCATTTAGTGACTTATGGTTTACACATTAGTTTAATTTGCTTCCCACATAGCAGGAGCTGAGATGTGACTACTGTGCACCTGTACATCGTGAGGACGATGCTCAAATTATATATCGTGCAGCCATAATAAAAATACTGTAAGAATATTCACTCACTTTCCATAAATATGCATCTAAATAAAGATTTTACTAAAAAATGATCAGCCCATCAGAATCTCATAAAGGATCCACGTCTACTAATCTGCTTTACAATTATTTCCCCCAAGCACACAGTGACGGTAGCAGAGCAACAAAATCTTCCTCCAGACCCGGGGAGTAGTTTTCCTTTCATTGTGTTGTAAAATGGTCAGGGAAAGCCAGGGATCAGACACTTAAAATTTAACAAGTGACAAAGCAGGATCCATCACAAGTCACTTTTTAAGGGTGACAGATAGATTTTCCCCTTAAGGCCGAACCTTGTGTACTACAGTATAATAGATACTGCGACAAGCTCATAACTTTAGACGCTAACAGTTCTGACTTTCATAAAAGCGAGGCKCATTCTTCTCCACAAGGTCAGAATCCTGCACGCCTGACTCGTTTATCAAAACAGCAGGAGGACTGAAGATTATCAGTATCGCCCAGACATCTTCATTCCAATTCAAAAACGAGGCAGGCTGTGATAAAATGTGCCATTCTTATTAAGATCTCAGTGCAGTCTATCTTCTTCTCTTTTTTTTTCTTTTTACGAAGACTATTTTCTCTTTCATGGGAGCGGTAGTCTCTCTAATTTCTCCTGGGAGCTACAAGCTGCTGCTATCTCAGCTGTGTTTACTAATCTTCCCTCGACACCAATTTCTCAGCCSCGCAAAGTTAATGCCAGTCCAGTGTAAATAGCCTTATCTCATAAACACTTGTTATCCCCCACCCCTCCCGCCTTGGCTGATTCATCGATACATGGTTAGCAGTCGGCACACGAGGCTGGATCGGGTCAAAAAGAAGAGAAAGACAAAAAAAAGTTGCTGCCGCTGGTTCTGCAGCAAGGTTWTCCTCCAGAATTTGGAGTGAAAATGTCAGCTTGCACATAACGGGTGACATAACGGCAGACGGAGAGGAAACGGATGAATGAAACGAGCAGCGATAGCGAAGGGGGAGCAGATAATGAATTTTTCTAAAATTTGTTTGGTGCTGATCGATATTCGCTTCCCTCAAACGCCTTGTCGTAGGTGCCGACCGCCGCGTACCTGCCTCACTCCCACCTGCGCTGGTCTGTTTCGGTGAAGGGGCCCTGAATTCTTGCGTACGCCACGGCAGCGAGTTTTAATTAAACCCGAAGGGGGAAAGTATTAATTATCCCGTTGCCTGCCGCGAACAGGCGAGTGGCTGCGGGCGGATTCTCACTTGAATGCTGATGATGTCGAGGTGAGTGGAGGTGTGGTTCTGAATAAAACGTGGGGATTCATCGAGCTCGGGATTGCATTTGGATAACCACCTGGAGACAAAACGGGATTTTCCGTGCGTCTAAATCAAAATTACAAGCAGGCGGCTTTCGGATCGTTTCCTCAGCCGCAGGATGTTTTTGACCATTTTCAAAAGCTGYTTACATTGATAGTTTCGAAACAGACAGAAAGCTCCCCTGAGGCCTGCATTTAACTCCGTTTAGATTGCATTTGTTTTTGATCAGCTTATCTGTCTTCGTATCTGCCATAGTAGCTGTCTTTTCTGCCATCAAATCGTGTCCATCTTTTCCTCCAAGCTTGCAATATTTATCCCGATTAGGACTCCTCTGCCTCTGCTACTTCTGCACTTTAAACACTTAAATCTATGCTTCTGCCATGGATTCATTGAATTCTGAACGTCACATCATAGTCTGATTGATTGGTTACGCCAAAGGGATGCCCATTTCTTAATCATACTGCATGTTTTCCGCAAATAGCAGTTTACCGGAGAGCCACGTTTGCAGCTGCTAATACATAATATATATATATATATATGTGTGTGTGTATTTTTTTTATTTTTTTGCAGAGAAGCTGAAGCAGCACTCCTCTTTTCGTCAGCCCCCTGTAGGTGTTTGTTAATGCAGAGATGGAGAAGCGCCTTATAAACTATGCATGTCATCTCCCTCTGGCAACAACCATTGGAGAGGATGATGGTGGGAAAATGGTGGTTTTCATTAGTCTTGCGAGGCTGCTTAACATAAAATTAGCCTCGGGGGTTAGCAGGATGCGGACAAAAAACAGGGTGAGGGCTTCATTAAACCTCCGTGCGTACCAGGCGCCGGACACCAGCGTCGGCAAACTTTTTTTTCTGATGCTCTGAAGTTTAGATCTCTTTCAGACTTAATGACAATTTAAGAAAGAAAACAAGAACGACAAGAAATGTTCTTGTGGCTCTAAAAAGCGTTAGCTACTCACCCTTTAGAAGGTCAGAGCTGGCCGAAGGCGCACTATACGTCCGAAACAACATCCAGTCGAAGTCATCCTGCTCCCCTTGGGTGAACTCGCACAGATTAGGGTCTGAATCCTCTTCGAACGTGCAGCCGGCAGCTAAACGAAAGAGTTAAAATTCATTTTAAAAAACACATTTTGGCTCAAAGGTTTGAACTGAGACAAGTTAGAGGAATGCACGCAACATGAAAACATTTACTGTCGGTCACAAAGCCACACTGACCATTTTTTCTGTGTTTGTGTGACGCAGCTCTGATGTGGCTCAGTGCTGGGATGAAAAACAGGCCAAACGTAACTGCGGTGTTCCAGTTTAACACTGTGACCCTGAAATACACACTGACTGCACCGTGCRCCACTTGTAACACAAAACTCAACAAATATACTAAATGACTGGCCAGCCCATTTTATTGCAAATTGTTTTTAAATGATGGGACCATCAAACAGCACGAATGTCTCTAATCTGATTTTAAACTCTGAGCTGACATTTGATAAATTAAAAAAAGGTGAGATATTAACTGTGACAATAAGCTTAGTCTGAGTGGTCCGGTACAGACAGTGTTGCGTGTCACTCACAGAAAGTGACAGGCTGATCTGACATTTTTTAATAGTCGACACAAGATAGGTCTGAGCATGCTAAGACAAATAAAAGACACCAAACAACATTAACTTTGGTCAAAGTGGACTGAAACCTCTAGGATGACTGCTCAGTGAGAGAGTTATTTTTGGTTTGGGGCCATCAAGGCATGGATTACACTTTCCAGCTGTGTACAGATATTTTCCTAAGACATTAGAAAAATGTCTTCTTTGTTGGTGTCAGCATTATTTAATAAACTGTGATTGTAGACTGTTTTAACCATCCATCCATTATCTGTACCCGCTTCTTCCTTTCAGGGTCACTGGGGTCACTGGTGCCCATCTATCTGTGGGAGGAAGCTGGAGTACCCGGAGAAAACCCATGCATGCACAGTGAAAACATGCAAACCATCCGGGATTCAATCCGGCAACCTTCTTGCTGAGAGGCAACAGTTCTACCAAATGAGGCACCTTGCTGCCTTTACAGGTTATTGAGTTGTGACGGCCCTGCTGCTTAGTTAATTGCAGCCAGCTGCCGCCTATTTCCTGATTGTGCTTCCTCACAGGTAATCCTTAGGGGGTGTGGCCTGTGCCCTTCTTAAAGCGCACACCTGGAGAGCTGAGCTGAATGTGGTGCTGCACACAGTGCTGTATGCAGAGCTGCACGGCGAGCTGTGGAGAGTGCAGTGTACAGAGCTGCACGGTGAGCTGTGCTGAGCGCTGGTGAGAGACATCCTGCTGACGTGCGGATGCCGAGTCTGGGTTTTTGGAGCTGGAGAGAGGACACTGAAGCGCGAACGCAGAGGTGCACGGAGGACACGACGGTGGTCGAGGGAACCAGACCACAGACTTGCGCATAACAGGTGGAACGTAAACCTGGACCACAGACTTCAGAGGGTCCAGCTTGGTGAGAGATGTCCGGTGCATTCGGGAGCTACGGAGCTCCAAACCGGGCCAACAAACTCACCTAATCCTAGACAAAGACTTTAATAAATACCTTTTAAGGTTTTAAACTGATTCCACCGTGTCGTGTCTTCCCATATGTTATGGCTCTTGAGCCGGGTCGTAACAGAGTCATTAATAACAAATATCCGTGATAAGATTGCACATAACCTTATTTTCAAGGTTTGACCAGCACATCTACAACTCTGTCATTTCCTGACTTAAAATTAACTTAGTCTAAAACTCTGACATGCAAGGTGGGGGGTCATATGAATGACTTCAAAACAACAACAACAAAAAAACCTTCAATTTCATTGATGAGATGATTTGAATGTTGAACTGGGCAATTTGTCTACTACCTTTCATGGCAGAAATGCTGTACAACACTGGCAGACCATAAAGAAAGTTGACTAAAATTTTCTACCAACTTTTGAAAGAACAATATCATATCTATCAGGAAAAATGCCAAGATGTTCTTTTTTTTAAATAATAACCATGTTTGAACCCTTTGCTGTTTCCAGTATTGTCAGTCAGACACCCCATTGAGCCAATTTCTTCAACTGCCATTGTTGAAGTATTAGTATTTTTCAACGCCTGGTGGACTGTAATGCGCACGGGTGATAAATGTTTATAGCAGGGGTATCCGATCCTGGTCCTCGAGGGCCACTATGCTGCATGTTTATTTGTTTCATTCATTCAAACCCGGTGTGTTGGAGCAAAGGAGCATCTGTATAACATGTAGGATAGTGACCCTCTAGGACCAGGATTAGAACAACCCATATAATTTTGTTGACCTCTAGTTGGAGCAACAAATACAAAGAACCAAATTTCCCTGAGTTCAGCAGCATATCATGCAAATACTTCAGCAACACACCAAAGAACACAAAGTCTGACGAGAGCAATAATTGCCCCTTCACATAAAAAAGGTAAAGTGAAGGCAATACACAAATACCAAGAACATTTGGAGAACCAGGCACTTTGGATGAAGTGATAATCACAATAACTCACCATCTTTCTATTGCGGTTAAAAAAACAAACAAACATCTTATTTTGGAATTATAACAAACCGTATAACTTTACTGCAGCTTTTGAACCCACATTAATGTGCTTTAGTCGCTGCATCTGTAGCCGTATTTCACATTAGCTCATCAGTGTGAGAATTAGAGTACAGCAGTGGGCAGTTTGAATGGCTCTGTCATAAGACCCGAAGCTCGTGTCAGTAATAATTAGAGCGGGACCACATGAGACGTGGCATGCTAATGATAGGAATAATCACTTGCAGGTCCTGAAGGTGACCCCTGTGGTCCGCAGCTTTATTGCTGCTCATTCTTTTCTCTAATCTGCCATTAAACAAATGCTCTCAGTGTGACTGCAGAGAAAAACATCAACTGCAGAGAGAGAGAGGATTCATGATGATCGTTTTCATCGGTCATGTATGAGGCTGCCAAAGGTTACAGTTTACAGACGTGGCTAGTTTGCTCCGGTGGGTTAAAAGGAAAGTGCAGCTTTTTGATGAAATTAAGTTTTACTCTTTTAGTTGGAGGGATGTTTTAAGTGGTAAAATTCCAAAAAGATTCCAAGTTGAAACTTTTTTTTTCAGTACCTTAGTGTGTGGAACACAATTAACGCATTTTAATCATCTTTTCCACCTGTCACGATTTGAGGTTTCAGTTTCCTTCCTGTTGTTCTTTTGGGGATTTTATGTGCTGTTTTCTGTGTACTTCAGTTTTCCTACCGATTTCTGCCACACTTGTGTTCGATCAGCTCATTACGCGCCTTGGTATACAAAACCTCCTGTGGTTCAGCTCCTGCTTGCCAGATAGTCTTTGTACATTTTGCATTAAAACTTTCTGGGTACTTTTTTTTCCCTTGCTTGTTTCTTAGTGCTTGAGCCTTGACTTTTATAAGAAACTCAGTGTGTGTTTGGGGGTTTATTTGAATTGTGTTCACATTTTTTATTTTTATGCCCCTTGCTTTTCTGTGTTTGGTTTTCAAGCTGCCTTCCTCAGGTGGTGAAATAAACTTTAGAATATCTGCAAATCTGTTTCTAATGTCATCAGTTAGTTCCCCAAATGGGGTCATTTGAGAATCTGATTAAAATAAAATGCCTCAAGAGATAACCAGGAGCTTGTTTTTAATGAGTTAGAAAGGTCAGCTTAGTTGTCACAAAGGTGGCTCATTTCTCACTATGGTACCTCACATTGGACCAGTGGCCCATTGATACACTTGGCTGTAGACTAAATACTTTGAAATTTGAATTTGTTTGTCTGTTAGCAAAATATTTCATTACCCCCTGAGCAGATTTTACAAAACTCAGAAAGTCATTACCATAACTTGTGGAGTCAATTTAATTCAATATAGAAGCTATCTGATCCAAGTAAACAAAAGATTTTATAACTGACAACATTACAGCTGTTGAACTAAAATTCATTGTAGTAACTGAGAATCCTCTCCAGCACATTCTGATGACAAAACATATTTGCTTGGATGGATGGATAGTTTAAATAAATGGCAAGCCATAAGCATTCTTTCAAGGAATACTAGATTTTAAATCCTATTGAATGTTTGTTTATTGGTTTATTTATGACCCATCACATCAAACAGAGGATTAAATCGAAGTTAGTGTAGTGAGAAAATGGGCAACTGCATTGGTTGAAAAACCTGGAATAAATAGACTTTGTCAAAATATGATGAATAAATACATTATTTATGGGTCCATTGAAAAAAATGTCCAAAATATAATCCTGAAGAAGCACTTTTCTAAGCAGTATCGACAACTCACAATGATTTTGACAGAAAAACCTTACATTTTTTGCTACTTTCCCTGCACACTAGTGAAGCTACAGTAGTTAGACAATGAAAATGAAACACCTGTCATTTTAGTGTGGGAGGTTTCATGGCTAAATTGGGCCAGCCTGGTGGCCAAAGTCTTCATTAATTGCACATTGCACCAGTAAGAGCAGAGTGTGAAGGTTTAGTTAGCTGGGTAAGAGCACAGTTTGGCTCAAAATATTGCAATGCACACAACATTATGGGTGATATACCAGAGTTCAAAAGAGGACAACTTGTTGGCGCACGTCTTGCTGGAGCATCTGTGACCAAGACAGCAAGTCTTTGTGATGTATCAAGAGCCACAGTATCCAGGCTAATGTCAGCATACCCCCAATGAGGACCAACCACATCCAACAGGATTAACTGTGGACGCAAGAGGAAGCTGTCTGAAAAGGATGTTATGGTCTAAAACCAGGTGTTTCAGTTTCATCGTCTAACCCCGTATTTTCTACACCAGCCGGGAAATCTGAAATCCAAATATGGTTTGAGGTTTACTATTTCAAATGATGTAAAAAAATCTTCTGTTAGGGGTACTTGCAAGACAAATAAAACCAAATCTCTGGAACCGCTCATACTATCAGGGTGATCTATGTATCAAAAACGGAAAATGTGTTTTGTTTAGTTTGACCAAATCTGACTTAAAGTCTGAGTTGATGTGATGGGTCACATTTCTCACATATAAGGACAGTGTACATAATAAACAGATGAATGTGTACCAGAAGTTACGAGACCATGCGCCTGGCAAATACCTG